GTGCGCGCGCGCCCGTGCGTGTGTATGTGTGAGTGTGTGTATGTGTACGTGTGTGTGTATATGTGTGTGTGTGTATGTGTGTATGTGTGTGTGTATGTGTGCGTGTGTGTGTGTGTGTGTGCCTGTGTGTGTACATGTGTGAATATTGTTCATACATGCATTTGTGTGGATTCTAAAGCACCTAGAGCTGTGTTTGTGGGCGCTATAGAAATGAACTGCATTATTATTATTATTATTATTATTATTATTATTATTATTATTATTATTATTATTATTCATTATCATCATCATTATCATTATTATTATTATTATTATTATTATTATTATTATTATTACATGTAGAAAATCTATTATTATTATTATCAGTAGTAGTAGTAGTAGTAGTAGTAGTAGTAGTAGTAGTAGTAGTAGTAGTAGTAGTAGTAGTAGTAGTAGTAGTAGTAGTAGTAGTAGTGGTAGTAGTAGTAGTAGGAGGAGGAGGAGGAGGAGGAGGAGGAGGAGATCTACAGCCTAAGAGACTTTTTTTTTTTTACAATAAAACGAGACCAGAAAGGATGGTGCAACGCTGCTGCGTTTAACTTATCAGTGTACTAACAGAGCCTCGAAAGGAACCCCTCTTTCATTTCACTGGTAAGAATAAGATTGATAAGAATTTTGACAGATTAGATCCAGATCTATGTTTGGAAGAAAATATTCGAAAAGATTAAGAGCTTGGTCTGATCAAAGCCTACCTTTCAGTTAATTGATATCATATCTAACCACTGCAATTTTGCCTCGTCTTTGTGTTTAAATTACTTACTTAAACAAGCTAGATCTACTAATCTGAGATACTAATTTCACTCATTTGACAATGACTCACTGACTTAAGATATATTAAACATAGTAATAATAACAATATCATCAATCATAATTATTTTCATGGATGGAAGCAGCCAAAGATAGGCTCGTGTCTAAAATGCATGATGTAAAGTATAGGATATATATCCAAAGCTTATTAGCGACAAAGGAAACCATAGTCAGAGTGCGCTTGGTGCTGAGCTTGCTATACAATGTATATGCACAGCGTCTTATATGTGTTTGCTCGAATGAATTTAAACAACTCATCACTGCTTCTGTCAGGCAGATCAGTGATGTCTGGTTGTTTTTTTTAATAACATCATCTATTTTGAGCTCATAATATGTCTTATAGACACAAATAGTCACTCCGGTTGTTTTTTTGTTTTTTTATATAAAGAGCTATCAGCAAGGTTCTGGGCCATGTGAAGTTAAGGTTGACTAGCACCTAGATCTTTTTCACAATGGGCAGGTAATTTCTTTATCAAACAGTGTACTGTTTAATGTTTTTGTTTTATTGAATGTTGTCCAAAAACCCAATTAGTAAAGGTTTTTTGTTTCAGTTATCACTACTCTGTGTAGAAAAACAATTGACCAGGCTACAAAACAACATTAAGTTCACTTTTTTATCTTTAGTAAGTCCAGAGTTGTCACTCTTGTGTTACGAATGTCTAAAATTAGACTTACTTAAAACAGCAATAGAAGGAGCTTTAGTTTACATGCTGTAAATCGTTTACTTTAGTTCTTAAAATCAATATAAACCAAAGTTTAATACATACAGAAGAAAGCACTATACTTATTTGGTATACTTTAAAATAAAATAACTGAACGTAAGAATGAAAAATACAGTTTCCTGTTCAAATGTCACAAGGGAAAGTTTGACTCGATTTTTTAAATACTTGTAGATCTACATGCATTCATCATTTGTTTGGCTGAATTTGCTTTATGAAGAGGTTTTGCCTTCCTACACCTAATGGCAGAAAAAACTCTGGAATTTTTTTTCTACGGCTCATCTTGATTTAATTTAAAGCCTAACTTGGGGGGGGGGGGGGTATTGTGATTGGGGAGGAGAGAGAGGGTGGGGTGATTGGGAGGTTCCCATGACACCCACATCTTTTCATACTTCTTTTAAAAATGTCTATAGGCGCAAAACCCTTTGATTCAGTCAATAAGAAATAAACCACTTCGTAGATAAAGTGCTGATGAAGAAATAAAGGGGTTTTTTTTTGGGGGGGGGTTCTTTTTTAAAGCCTCTTTCTCTATCTCTATCTATTTAATAAAACATTTGTTTGTAGATCTAGTTGTAGAAAGAACGCTGTATTATTGCTATTTAGTAACCTAGATAGTACGCCACGGCGCCCATGTAAAAAAAAAAAAATTAACAAGGACCAAGCCTCGCCTATCGCGTGTGAGGGAGAGAGAAAACATGCCTAGCCCATTGCTTTAGCTTAAATTCCTTCACACAGCTCGCCCACCGAAACATGGCGGACGCCGCTGTCGAATGTGGCCATCGCGCAGCAAGGCGAGAGAGGGGCGTACGGTATCTAGTGACTATAGTGTACATCTATGATCTTATTTTATCAGCGTTTGATGTAGTTTTGTGTGCGGTGCCAGGGCCGGGTAAGATAGAATCCGATTCATTTTTTAAAAATGATCAAGGTACTGATGTATCGTTGTTGAATGCTTTCAAACTACCATTAACGTGATTATATTTATTGTAAAATATTTTATATCAGTGAGATATTTATAGAAAACATGGAATACTTGTTTTTGTTCGTATAACTGATATTTAATCATCATTGGCCATAGTCTAGAAATTCTTTAAAAAATCAAATGTCTGTCACTGGGTCAAATGTGGCAACAAACAGAATCACTCACAGCATGCCTCTGTTGAGGAAAAGAAAACAACTGAGCACACCTTACCTTCCGGGAACATACTCATAGACTAAGAATTGACTTTTTGAAATTCGTTAATATCCGTTCTCGAAGGCCCGACATGTGTACTACTTTAGTACGAAAGCACACAACGTCACATTAAAATTTAAGCTGTTCCCAGCAGCAGATAGCACGGCATTACTAGCAATACAACACGCTCGCATATTTTCACCCCAAATTACTTAATAAAAGAATATAACAGAAGAAAAGCGGACCTATTCTAGTACTTTTAAAATTCAAAAGTTTTTAGTGAATGCAGCTTTTTCACAAAATCTCCGTCCAAAAAGGTTATGCTGATCAGTTACAAAACAACCCGAAAAAATCAACATGTTATCATATCAACAGAATAATAATATACTATACATGTACATATATTATTCGGTTGTTTCTAAACGAGATTTCGGTAATAGTAATAGCTGGGTTTTTTGTATTGAACGTTTGGTTTGAACAGTTTCTAGATTCTACTTCTTCGAACAAAAAATTCGATATTGTTCAAAGTCGTTCCGAGGTTAAGTTAAAAAAACATAAATATGCACTTGAAATCTAAACTTATATTAACAATCCAAAATGTCTCTGGTCGTCGAGGTCAGTTCCTTCGATATACCCGTGGTGACGGAGAGAGCATATATTTGAGTTATAGTAATAATATCATCATCGGCCTTTCTCACTCCCTATGGAAGTATCGGCCACCAATAACTCTCTATGTGCTTTTGTCTTTGGCTATTGTTCTACACAGACAGACGTTATTGCAAACAAAAAAAACCCTATAAATCTAGTACGCTTACTCGTCACTATCATCCCAGTTCTAAAACCAAACAAAGACCATACTCACACATCCAACTACAGACCAATTGCCTTAACGAGCTGCCTGTGCAGGCTTCTAGAAAAAAAAAATCAACAAGCATGGTTTCTGAAGGCGACATACTAGCTGGTCGGTCACTAGTGCGGATTCAGGAAAACTCGATCCACTCTGGATCACCTGGTCCGTCTTGAGACTTTTATACACGAGACATTTACTGAGGGAGACCATGATTATGATCGCCATCTTTTTCGTCTTAGAAACCTGCAAGTACGGCATCCGTACCCGCTCTCGGCCTACGCGATCACTTGCTCCCTCTATAGTGAGATTTTAAAAAATTCACGTGAGTTATTTGCATTCATGTATGCATTATAAGCGTGCGCTGTATCGTTTTAAAAAGAAACCCAGCGCACAAGACGAAGCTTCATCGGCATTAATCAAAGAAAAGAAAATCATTACATCTGCCGGAACACATATATAGTGGAATTTTGAGAAGTTTTTGCTTCAGATCTGGTCATAAAAAATGGGAGGGGGAAAGGGGGGAGGGCGAAAATTACGTCATGCGGTCACCTTTTCATAACGCTAGCATGGATTTAATAAGGAAGTTGATTCTTCACATGAGATAAAATCATTACCGTATAAAAGCAATCACTAGTAAGAAAATCTGCCTTAGCAACTGGAGTGTATGCATCGTATAACGATTTTAAACTTCAACTCAAAGGTTATTTTATAGCAACAAAGTCCTGGTAAATTTCCGTGTTCTTGGATAAAATTCAGAGATTAATTTTGTTTTAATTACGCCAGTTCGATTTTATTTTACCTAAGCGTCTCAAACAGCTTCTCCCAATCCAGCCAACCGTACCTGCCCGTGGTGGTCCCTGTCCTCACTGACACGGCTCTGGCGAATGGCAAGTTGTTGGCGCCAACAAACCAACCCCCCCCCCCCCCCCCCCGTTTTCTAGAGGGGTTAAAACAACAGGATGGGAGCAGGTGTGGCCCCACAAGGTGCAGGAGGCAGAACCCACCGATGCGTGGTAGACGCTATGCTCCTCACTAACACACCCCTACTCTCCCTTGAGTGGGTGTCTATTCTGCCTAACACCTCTACTACTTTTATCAACACACCCTCTGTGGCTGAGAAGGTACCAGCCAGTTTGAGAGTGTCTGGGTGCAGGGGATGGACCGAGCAGAATGCCTGGCTTGCTTTCTGGCCGTGAAACCTCTTAGTAAAGGCACAACGACCCAGGACGTGACGATCCAATGGCTTTTCCACTTGGCCAATACCTCATGAAAGAGTCGAAAACCTTAGCCAGTAGCCATTGGTGGCGGGGAATGGGCAACGTGAACCCTACCGGAATTACACGGTCACAGGGCAGTTAGGTCTTTCCAGTCTCATGAAAACTCCTAGTACCCTCCTATCCTCAACATGAATGGCCTCTTCTCAGGGTGGGCAGACAGTCCACAGACACCTCAGTCCACAATGCCATGACACAAAGAAATAAATTACATGCGAGCTCGGACGTCGCCTCGTTAAACAAGGTCCGCCCCAGGCAGCGCAATCACCAGGCTGCTCTGAGCGACAAGTCAGCTACTGGTGATACACACAGAAACAGCGCTAAACCAGCACCGAAAAGCTCTCGGCGTGAGAAGGGAGCAAACTACATCCCCAACCAGAAGAAGAGTTCCCTCAACCTCTTGCAACTCAACATCTGTGGTTTGAGGAACAAGAAAACAGAACTCCTCAAAGTACTGAAGGACAGGCAGATTCATGTTGCCCTCCTTCAAGAAACCCTACACAAAGGTACGGACCTGAACCTCACAGGATACACCAGTTACGCCTGCACATGCACAGGATGCCGCGATATAGTCACTTACCTGCGAAATGATGTTCAGGGAGATGTCGTACACTTATCATCTGCCCAACCGACAGATATCCAGAAGGCCACCATATGGCACATTGGTAGGAAGTACACACTTTACAATGTTTACAACCCCCCACAGACAACATGCGACTTGTCTGATCTGCAAGCAGCCAGCTACGAAAAAACCATTTGTGCGGGCGACTTCAATGGTCACTCTCCAGAATGGGGCTACGTCAACTATAACGGCACAGGCCGAAAGATTGAGGAGCTGTGCGAAACCAGCAACCTATCTGTATTACAAGATGTCAACTCAACTCCTACCTTACTTCACAGAGCCCACTGGACTCTCAGCCGGCCTGATCTCACCATCTGCTCATCCGACATTAAAAACTCATGTCGCATCGAAGTGATTGATGACATAGGAAGTGATCACAGGCCTATCTTTATACAGATCACCTCCCCACCTGCATTGAACCACCCTCGGAGAACTCGATGGAACTTTAAGAAAGCCAACTGGGCAGAATACGAAAAGGCCTCAGACGAATTGCTCTCCAGCATAGCAGAAACAGAAGATGCTGATCTTTTTAATGAACAAGTCACCGAAAATATTCTGAAAGCTGCATCTCAGCACATTCCAAGGGGATGCCGAAGAAATTTCAAACCCTTTTGGAGTGAAGAAATCCAAACTGCTGTGGCAGAAATAGAGAAAGCTAGACAGTCATTGGAAAAATCACCATCAACAATAAACAAAATACACTACAACAAGACCTGCGCTCAGGTGAAAGTGACAGTTAAAAAAAAGCCAAAAAAGAGAAATGGACTCAAACCTGCAAAGATCTCGACCTCCGCCACAATGGAACAAAGACTTGGTCCCTTGTTAGCAACCTCTCGGGAGAAAGACAAAAAAGCAACCCCAAACCCTTTTTCCTTTCAGGCAGCACCATCACTGAAGACCAGAAGAAAGCCAAACATTTTAACCGTTTTTTCGCCTCTGTACTCTGTAAACAGGGCAGGCAGACTAACTGAGGCTGATTGACTTCTCATTAATAGGGCTAAGCATAAAGAAAAAGCTCCTACTGTGAACAACTCGCTTGTTGAAGAGGATTATAGCATGGTGGGACTCAGTCAGGCCCTCAAAAAGCTAAAGGAAAAGAAAGCCCCAGGACCAGATAAAATACACAACGAAATGCTGTGCCACCTTGGTGCTAAAGGAAAAGAAGTTCTTCTTTCCCTGATAAACACCACGTGGAGAACGAGTGGAATACCAAAGGCATGGAGGATCGCCCAGATTACACCACTCCTGAAAAATGGGAAACCACCTGGAGAAGCGAAAAGCTACCGACCCATCTCATTAACATCATGTATCGGTAAGCTACTGGTACCTGGAAAATACTAACAGCTTAAACCCACACCAAGCAGGCTTCAGAAAAGGCAGCAACACAGAAGTTCAACTTTTTAAACTGAGTCAGAACATCCAGGATGGATTTCAGGAGAGTAAACACACTGTCGCCATCTTTGTAGATCTCCAACAGGCGTTCGACAGAGTGTGGAGAAAAGGCCTACTCATGAAATTGATGGACCTCGGGATACATGGCAAACTTTACAAATGGATCAAGTTCTTCCTGTCGGATCGAAACATTGAAACCAAGGTAAACAATGCCCACTCGTCTAGAGAAGTACTCGAGGTAGGCCTACCTCAAGGTTCCTGTCTGAGTTGCACTTTGTTCCTGATCTTCTTTAATGATGTAACAAACGTGCTGAAATCAGAAAAGACTCTTTATGCCGATGATCTTGCTCTCTGGCAGACACATCACAGCACGATAGTAGGAGCAGGGAAATTAAATGAAGACCTCAAGAGGCTCCATAATTACTGTCAGAAATGGAAACTTAAAATAAACTGCACGAAAACAGTATACACCATCTTAACGAAGAGCCATAAAGCAGCCAAAGCAAATCTCAAACTAAAGATAGGAAATGAAAGTCTCCCCAAAGAAGAACATCCAACTTACCTAGGAGTCAAACTTGACCATAAGCTAACCATGAAAAGCCAAGTGGAGAACATAAGGAACAAAGCAAAAAAAAAGACTCCAACTTTTAAAGAAACTCGCAAGCAGTTCATGGGGGTCAGACAAACAAACTCTGAGAGCTCTATACCTGGGTTATGTCCGATCTTCCCTGAAATACAGCAATAGCCTACTCACTATGTGCAGTACAACTACTTGCAATACCCTTGACAAGGTCCAAAACAATGCCCTTCGTTTTATAAATGGCGGCATGAGATCCACACCTACCGCCGCGTGCGAAATCCTTGCAAATGTTGAACCCCTGGGAATCCGCAGAGATAAAGCAGTTTTGGAGCTACATGAAAGAACTAAAAGAATGTGCCCCAACCACCCAAACAGGAAATTAGTCGAAACATGGAAACCAAAGAAACGAATTCAACAAAAGTCAATCATGCATCACATCACAGAACTAATGGAGAGCCACCATCTACCACAAAATAGAAAAGAAACCAAAAGAGTCAACCAAAACATCCCTCCCCACCTTTCTTTAAAAAAGCCAATCATTACAACATCTCTCAAAGAGCACAAAATCTTCAGACCCAGTGACGCCGATGATTGCATCACATCAAACAATCGACAGCTATTCAGATGACTGGATACACGTCTATACGGACGGCTCAGCATTCAAAGGCACAACCAAAGCCGGATATGGAATACTAATACAGTACTCAGATGGTAGTTCCAATGAGATCTCTGCAGCCTGTCGGGAGAAATGCAGCAACTACGGTGCAGAAATTATGGCAATTGAAACAGCACTGTACCATCTCTGCACAGTTTTTGACACTCATCCTGGAAAAGCAGTTAGATCTTTTGAAAATTGAACAATGATTTCCCTTTCCGTAAAGCCTCTTTCTTAGTTCAACTATTACTTTGTTATAAGTCTTCAACTGCACATACTTACTGTCGACGTCAGACGCATAATTGGCCTACAAAATGACTTGTCCAGCACACTTTGCTAACAATAAACGCTTATTTTTGTAGATTGCCTGCAAATGTGTTTACCTCTACCTTTTTCCTCAACAGGCTTTTCAAGACGAGCTCACACCTTCAGACCATGTTCCAGGGGTTCAAGGACATCCGGTCAGATGACGAGCTACGGTCTAACGAGGCTCTTGAATATCATGCAACGTTAGTTATGACCACCCTCGATGATGCCATCACACACATCGACAATTATGACTTTGTGAAGCAGCTTCTGAGCAAGACTGGGGCCTCACATGTCAAGTTTGCTGGTTTCAAATCGACGAATTTTTTGGTGAGCTACTTAATTTATATGTTTCATTTGATTCCTCAAACCTTAAAATGTAATTTATGGTCATTGTGTCTGGTCTCGTCGTGAATATTTTGCAACCGTGGACCATCGGTCGACAGATCTACTTGAAAGAGAACTGAAAGTAGAACACAGTAAGAACAATAAAATTGAGCCACAGTTGCGCTTGAGAGGTTGAGGCCAATGAGTGGCAAACCCGCCAGCAGTGGAGCTTCAAATGTTTGTCTACTCCTTCGGGTTCGGGGCACAGGTTTCCCTCTTTTCTAGTAGTGATTTCTTAGTAGCGAAGAGGGAATTGCTTCCCGTGTATAACAAATATGACTGAGCCAATATTTTCCCATAAAGAATGAAAAATGTTTGTGTTCTTGATTGCGTTTTCCAACTAAGAAGCGTAACGAATACGATAAAATGGTTGCACAGCTAAAAGGTATTGGTGTTGCAACTGTCTGTTCTTTTCCTTTTCTTTGTAGGTTTATCTCTCTGTGTGTCTGTGGGGGAGGGGGGGGGGAGGGATATTTACGAGTACTTCCCTCAAACTTTAACTCTATTTCACAGCTTTATTGAAACTCCAACGAAATAACTTATGACGGAACATCACTTCAAAGCCCAGTTACGCTTGCCACGGCACACTACATCAACAATTGTGCAAGACGTAATTAATCATAGTAAAGTATCACTCACGTGGTGTCCTTAGTATATCCTTCTAACAATAATATTGAATCAAGAAAATTACCATTGTCACGAGATATCAAAAACAAAATAATGTTGAAGTACTGCAACATGTAGGATATGTACATTTACGTGACACAAACAACAGTTACCAATATTTTGCTAATATGTATTTATATAATTTATATGTACTTGAAAGTACAAAGCAAGTCTGCATAGCTATCAAACTGAATTTAACGAAAGACTTATTACACGTTACATGTTTCAACAGTTGGACGAGAGAAACAAGTCTGTGAAAATGGGCACTGTAAAGTCGACAGTATTTTACGCCCAGTTTGTGTTTTTCCTGCTGTGTTCTTTTATAATATAAACTAAAGCTTAACATTAAAGGAAATACAACAGTACATAGAAAGAATGTCAGTTTGGACGGAGAAAACAAGAATGATATTCTTGCAATGGAAGAGGAACAGAGAACATACGTACTCCATGGCGCTTTTTGTGATGTGGACAGTAAAGCTTTTAATGACACAGATAAAGAGATTAACAGAGAGTAAGAGAAATAATTATTGTTATCACCTTAACGAATAGGACCATGATTTCGTGCAGTCTGCAATCTCTTTAATGCTAATTAGATAACGCTCTGTTCATAAAACTGGGCGTTTGGTGGGAGTGATAGTATTTTACAAATATATAAATTATGCTGTACATTTCCATTTTCTAAAAAAATGCTCCAGGCAAAATTACACTCATAGAGTTACCACACTTCCAAATTACTTGACAGGCGTACACGAAGAACGTAATATTATATTAATTAATACATTAACACACTCACACACACAAACACACACACACACACACACACACACACACACACACACACACACACATACACACACATACTATGTATATATATATGTGTGTGTGTGTGTGTGTGTGTGTGTGTGTGTGTGTGTGTGTGTGTGTGTGTGTGTGTGTGTGGATGGCCCGTGATCAGACCTCGTAAGCGACAGTTTTGGCCAAATTGACTTTTTTACAACATAACATTTTTCTGATTACACTGCACATGCCAGCGGAAGGTTTAGCTGAAAAATGGCTTAGAAGTGTGTTTTATCGTTAGTAAACAAAACTCACAAGTCCACCCCTCCCCAGAAGTGGTTGAGATCAGAACTCGTAAGCACCATCGTGTGGTTTACGAGCTTTGATCACAAAGTGGTTCGAGACTGGTCATCGCTTAGGAATGGCCAAAGCAATCTGTAACTACCTTCTGTACCTGGTTCACAGTATTCTCCGGTTCCGAAACCTTTTGTATCAGTAACAATCGACGCATCGTCACCTTTTATCTAAAATGCATCATCTCTGGCATCTAATTCACCACAAACATATGTATGTACCCCTTACGGCCCACCCTGACCGCTGACCCAGCTCTGCCCATTGTCGAGCCTGAATGATTTCTGAAACCCCATTTATCAAATCTATGTCCAGTCACCTCATATGTCATCCGAGTCAAAGCTACATCAACTTTTAAGTCAGATTTCACCTGATCTGTCTGCTTATATACCACCCATTGGGGAAGCAACGTCGCATTATAAACCTAGTTGACCGTGGCATAAGTCGTTTGAATCAGATACTGTCTGACTTTAACCAAAAAATAAACGAATAAATAAAACAACAACAGAAGAAAGCTCAAGCAGAATGGAAGTAAAACTAACGAACTGAATAATGCAAGCAAGGCCAAGCGTATTTCCGAACTGATGGACATAAACCCGCCCCAGAAATTAACACTCCATATAATGAATGCAAAGAGAGTAGGGAATGAAGTGCAAAGAACTTTCAAAATGGGACTGACGGTAAGCTTTTAATTATATCTGGTCCCTGTCCTAGCATGGGAAGGAAAAGCATCAAAGGCATAGTGACGCTGCAAGAAAGTCCTGGGTACCTCTAGATATAAATGGATGTAGAACTATCTTTTAGAGAAAAGAACATCTGAAACTTACTGTAAGCAAAATCAGGTTCCTCTGATCAACAGCCTTTGATGAATGTTATGTTGGGAACATTGTCGTGGATAGAGACACTTCTGTCATCAATGTAACTGCCAGCACAGACCTCAATTCAGCAGAAACTCCCACAAAAAAACCAATCCTTATTACAAGAGAGCATCCGAGACGAGAACATTTCTCATTGAAGGTTTATTTACGAAACTGTCCAAAGTGACTTCTCAATATTGTCGAAAACAAAGAGGAAAGTTGTTTATAGAGTCAATTTTTAAAAGCATTAAAGAACTTCACAGTAATCTTTAAAAGTAACTAACCACAATTTAGATACATTATTTTGAGTGGTTTTATTCGAAAACATCCCTTAGTTGTCTCACATTTCAATGAAAGTGACTCCGACTTTGTCAGATGACATTCTGTTAGCTAAACTTTGAAATGCAGTCCTACAATGACAATTGAATTTCCTGATCAACACGAGGCTGAGAATGAACACACGTCTCTTGGCCTGGGTGACTTCGATGATTCGGACACGGATCACATCCTAGAAGTTCCAGTATTTTGTAGTCAAAAGGAAAGACAGGGCAATCAACAAACTCTGAATCCATACCGCACAATGATTTTGAAACCGATGAAACCCAGAGTAGCTACGAACGGCTACCAGAATCATTTGAAGTTGAAGGGGTAAGCCTGCCAGGCGTCGCCAAAGAAACGAAGAGAATCAACTCGAAGAACGATAAAAAAGAAAGCGACAATGTGGCGAATAATACATGAGCGCCGACACGAAAAAGGTTGTTCCAGCACAAATGATGAGAAAGGGCTGCGTTGGAATGGAATGTATGAGAGCTGTCCGTCAATGTTCTGAAATCTCAGGAAAGGACAGGAGGGAGATATTTCAGGACTTTTTCAGGACAGTTTATAAACTGGCTGACCTGCAGAAGCAGCGAAAGTTCGTTGCGTGGCATATTGTGACGACAGAGCCCAAGGTCGGGAAACCAAACTCTCGACGCAGCAAAACGCATGCTTATTACATCACAGTCAATGGAAAGCGCTTGAAAGTGTGTAGGAACACATTCCTTGCAACGTTGGGTATTTCAGAGAAATGTGCCCTAGTTGTTTTGTCAAAGATTACGGAGACCGGCATTGTGGAAGAAGACAAGCGAGGGGGCAATCGGAGCATATGAAGACAAGAGAAGAACAAATCAGGGAGATGACCAGTCAACACATTGACAGATTTCTACGCGTGGAATCGCACTACTGTAGGGCCTCTTCCAGCAAAGAGTATATCAACCCAGACCTCACATTGTCCAAAATGTACGACATGTCCGTGAAAATAAATCCATGCAATGACATCCCAGGTTTTCACACATTCAGACGAGAGTTCAAGACAAAAAACCTGGCCTTTCATAGTCCTTAAAAAGGACTAATGCTCACTCTGCAACTCTTTCCGAAAATGGGAAGAAGCACAGAAAAATGAACTCAGGGAAATTTATAACAGGCACGATGCAGAAAAACAAAGGGGAGGACAACTTAGGGAGGATTGCAAGAAGATGGTTCAAGCTGACCACAGCATTCTGGCTGGGAACTTTGATCCCCAGCAGGTCATATACTTGCCAATTTCACATGAAAATGCTTTGTTCTACAAGAGGAGACTTTCCAGATAGACAGACAGACAGACAGGCAGGCAGACAGACAGACAGACAGACAGACAGACAGACAGACAGACAGACAGACAGACAGACAGACAGACAGACAGACAGACAGACAGACAGACAGACAGACAGACAGAGAGGTATGGGGAGGAGAAGAGAAAGGGAAAGGTTTGGCATGTCGAATGGGGGGGGGGGGGGGGTGAGGAGTGATGTCTTGGAGGACTTTTACCTCTACTTGTCAGTCTGAAGGCTGAAGTTAATGGTGTGGACACTCAAACACATGGTGTATACATGGGCGTATACACTGATTTTGGACTGGACAAAAAATTGAACAATCACACGAAAGGGCGTATGCCAACAGATGGCACATTTTTGCAGTGAAATTATATAAAACAATTCAAAACTAATCTTGCTCGTTGTTTGATATCTTATCTTGCCCACAATATCGAAATATCCCGATGGTAGGATGCAGTTTACTAAAATGACAAGGGAAAAGGATGAAGCAACCAAAGTCTGAAAATCTTTAAATCGCCCTCCTGAAAAAGTAAGAAAACAAGGATACGCCCTTTCGTGTGACAGGCGACGAATCTATTCACCATGCTTTGGCTGAATGAATCAGAAAGAAACCACTTAATTAGAACGCTCCAGGTGAGCACTCCGCTTTCGTCAGTCGGGA